AAGCCATCACCTAAGGCTTCTAAGCAGTTAAAAAAAGCGCAAGTTGTTCATTTATGTGTAGATGTGAACTTTACTTATGTGAAAAAAGGATTTGTCAGGTATTATTCCATAATTATTTTTGTTACCAGATGATAGAAATACAGGGACATTTTTCTTAAGCACTAGGAACTCTGTACTACATTTCTGAGGAATAGAATTATATTTGTTTTCTGGTTGTCATTCCATTCCAGACATAATAGCTTTGTACTTACTCTATATTATAATTCTGTAGAGTAAGATTATGACTTGATTATGACCTTGTTCTGCAGTAAAGCCAAGAAAATTTATGCCAAATGATTTTGTGCTAAATGAGAGTCACTGACTGGTAGTAGTGAAAAGAGTAGATATGACCATTTGGTTTTGGTTTTGCTTGCCTTTCAATTTATGGTGTATGACGCTTGGGTCAGATAAATGGATGAATTGCTAGGAAAATTAGTGCTGAGTGGTTAGAATATCAGAGAAAAAAACTTGTATTCCTAGAACCTATTTTTGATTATTTTCTGGATTTCTTGAAGGAAAGAATAGCCAAGCATTGTTAATTTTATTCTTTCTAAGATTTTAACAGCCTTAATATAAAACATGGGAAGACTAATGAAGACAGACAACCTGGGTTCAGGAGCACAACAAGACTCCTGTGCTTATAACATAGGGCTGTAAGTATTTATATGCAGGCTCTACCCTCATATGCTATCTCCTCCCTTTATTCTCTGTTATCTCCGCTGAACATTAATAGGTTCTCAGGCAGCCACAGGGACTTTGACCGCTATGCCTGGGACTGCATATTTGGAAGACTTGCAGCATGAAAGGTTATAAGGACAGCCCTGAGGGCAGCTTTGGATCTTCTTTAGACACCATAGACACAGCCACTGAGGCAATGCTGGTCAGTGAGGTAGAAAAGAGTTCCATAAGCTGTCTGCTAGTGGGTTGTTGGGATTTTTTCCCTAGCTACCACAAATCTATGATTGAATGGCATTTTCAGTAATGTATTAATTGGAGAAACCTATTTGTTTATTGCAGCTAAATTATGTCATGGCTATTCATAGAGGGTGAATAAAGCTTGAAGTTGAGTGGGTAATTCAGACCAGTGAATGGGAGAGTAATAAAATCTTCACCTTCCCAACTTGCAGACAGATATTTCAGACATTAAATGCCTTTAATCAAAATATCTTAAAGTAGTTGTTCAGTTCCAGTGTTGAACAAAAGCAAAATTGAAATTTGTATCCAGTACACAAAGCAAGAATTATTCTTCTCCAGCTAACATTAGTCATGCCAAAAGGGAATTTAAATAAGGAAAGTCTGAAAAAAAAGGCAATGAGATAAAAATGTTGATTAGAAACACCCCTTAAGATATGAAAAGGAACATTTCCATTGCTGTCAGGAACTCAGGCCACTAAGCCAAATTTTCAGACATGGCCACTTAAAACTTGTGCATATGTTCTCATCTATTTCAATGTGCTTTTCTCAACTTTATTATATTATTCCCTAAATCCTAATGGGATTTAATAACTTGGCTGCAGTAAGACAGGAAATGTCCTAGACACTTGGAAGACGTGGCTTGTGCTCCAAGGAGGATATAGTGAGAAATAATAGAAATCAAGTGTACAGGGTAAGGAAATAGAAACAAAAATGACCAAGGTGATGATGGGCAGATGTGTTATCATTGAGGCATTTTCTTGTTGGTTTCTTTAAGTTAATCAGGCCAAGATTCCCTTGCCCTCATCTTCTCTTCCTAGATTGGTATTTAGAGCTTTCTGCCTTCACAATAAGCAAAGTAACTGCGACCTATAGTTTATGAGTCAATTCCCAAGATTTACAATCATGAAAGCTAAAGAGTACCCTTAATTCCTTCACTTCCAGAATTCTGCTTCTGAAAATGATCAGTTCATTTGAAGAGACACTCATTTCAGTTTTTGTAAGAATATTGAACACAGAGCTTGCTTTAGGAAGCCAACATGGCAGGGATGGAGAGAAAGCTGAGTTACTCTACCTGCCTTTAGTTTTGGCAATTTATTAAAGGAAAAACTGTTCCAGCTTTTCCAGCCTTCTGGAATTTGCAGAGATGTTTTCCTTCACAGAGTTTCTTTTCTAAATCAGTAAGTTGTTCAACTCTTCAATCTTTTTAATGCCTTTAGGGAAGAGACTTCTAACACAGGGACACAACTCACTTCTGTATTAGGGTCTCTGAGATTTGCTGAAAAATGCTGCAGCTATGACCACTACTATGAGTTATTATTAAACGGTTGTAAAACACTACTGAGGTAAAGCTTTTCCCAAAAAATGTATTTAAACACATTCAGTTGTATCCTTGCTTCCTCATTCCTTCCCTCTGCCACACCACAATCAACACTGAAGTCATAAATATATAATTAGATTTGTCGTTGTTCTCTTGCTTAATACAATCAACAGTAGTTACCAATGCATATTTTCTGTATCAAGTTTTATAGTATCAGTTTATTAAGGACTGATAGCTGGAGATTAGGATACTGGCATTATTATAAGGACTTGAATCCCTTTCTCACCATCATAACGGGAGAAAACAGGAAAGCTTTAACAGATTTTTCTAAGGGCAAAATCTGTGTAATGATAAAAAGGAGATAAACTTCAGCCTGCCAGCCTGCAAAGTGCAGAAATGCTTAAGTGACTGTCCAGTCACAGATCTTTTTTGTGCAATATCTAATGAGAAATGCTGTGTGTTTCACCCAGTTTTTTGGAGTCATTACTGAAATGTTTTGTTCAGGTGCCACATTTGCATAGGTGAGAGGTACTCTAGGCAGAGTTCTAGAATAAGGTGAATGCATAAATCAGTTTTAATATGATGTTCCCTCCTTAGGACATTCCCAGCAAACCAGGAGCTGCAGCTGGCTGTGGCTTTATGTCTTCATCTGGGCTTTCTATCATACTCGGGAGCCAAATAAAACCTAATCATCAATATGACTTAGAATTGAAAGAGAGCTCAGTGCAGAGTATTGGCCCTGTGAGGAGGTATAGACTCTCCCCAGTGATGGGAAGGGAGTGAGAGAACCACTATTATTGCTCTGTGTGGTCCCAAGGATCTCAGAGGAGGCTCTTGTCCTTTCTTCATGTCCTTTCTTATTTTAAAAAGACAGTGTCATGACAGATCAGAGCAGTATGATCTAGATGGGAGCCAGGCCATATTAAAGGCAGATAAACTGTCACACTTAGGCTCATGATAAAATGTAATCCTGTTAGAGTTTATCTACAGTATCACGTCATCTTACATAATTGAAAAGAAACCACTCTTGTCTGAAATAATCCTGCGAGAGAGAAAACCGTGAACAGTGGGATAGCGAATGTTACTGTTACACACAACATGCAGTATAGGCTGCATTACAGTATACATACATTTACCATTTCAATTCATAATGACAAGCTACAGGACTTTTCATGGTCTCATTTTTGATCTCCATCTGTTCTATCCTTGAGGCTGATACCTGATGATGCTCCAAATAAATATAGTAATCTACAAGAGCAAGGTAGCAAGGTTATAACAGTTTGACTCCTGAAGAATCTTTCTATACTGTCAGTACATGGGTTTCCCAAAAACAGCATCTGGGGCATGTTATGAACTGCAGAGCTGTAACAGAAGACCAAGCTTTCATACACCTCTGAATTACATTTCTTTCTGAAATGCCTGGATGGTGTTTAAACTGCTTAAATAAAGAAAAAAATATTTGAAAACATGGTTTCTGTTTACTGAAATTCTATTTTCCTGAAGTCCCAGCCACTGAGTTTTGATCTGGGTAAACAAAATCTGGAAAAATACAGTGCTTATGTAACTGCAGTTCAGGACTCTGAGATCTGCACATGCATGGTACTTGTCAAGGTTTATATCCTTCATTAGGTTCAAGTATGTAAAATGCAGCATTTTTTTTTCAGTCATTGGAAACAACATATAACAAGACAGGGTAACGTCACACAATACAGTGTCTTTCATTGCATGCATTAGAGTTAAATTGCTTATGATCTGAATAATAAATAGTAGCTGGGAATGTAAAAGTTAAAAAGTACACTTAGAAGCTGAAAATGTACATTAGAGAACTCATCTATACTAAAGCTAACAAATTTGTTTATGTAGCCATTCACAGACAAATGTGTAGCAGAATTAAAAGGAGTATCTCTCCTTTATGGTTTCAAAGAAAGTGCTCTCCTGCAAAACTGCTGTAGTTTGAGCTGACATCCTAAAACAATAACTTAGCAGATGTGAGCCTGTTTCATTTAGTGGAAAGCTAATTCTAAAGTCTGTTGACAGCTCAGTTCACATCAGAAACAACATCAAGATGAGACTTTTAGCAAATACATGCCTTACAGCAGGATATTTTGTATTTGTGGATTACCATACTTATTTAAAAGACTCTCCTCATAAGTAGTTAATTCGCTGTGGTGAGGTGTAATAATCTGGCAGTGTGCATTAAATTGGAGAATATACATAATGGCATTACAAAAATAGAAGCAGAACATTCCAGAGTCTGGTAGGAAATGAAAAAAACATAGAGTGTGATTAAATAATACGGCCCAGAGCCTACTCTGTCAGGCATCAGTGAATAGCATTCATTGAAGTCAGTGGTTCTGCAAAAGAAAGAAAGTACCTGAGCAAAAATTTCCAGTTAAATGGTTTAGTTTTAGGTTTGCAAAATGTGTTAGTTTTAGGATTTGAAACAGACTGTGACAGGACAAAGACTGGAGGTACAATGTGCCATCACAAGTGATAGGCTTAGCCTTCATTGAAGTCACTGAAAGTCCTTCAATCACTGCAATGCCTTTGCATCAAATCTATTTCAAGACTATTTAACAGTAATATTAAACTATTGTTTAATATTAATGCATTTTTCCTCCAGAAAGACATAAAGAGCACATCCTTAGAATAGTCTTCCAATGGCCTTGATCTTCCCTATTAAACATTTCATGCTATTCAGCTTTTTCTTTTCTCTTTTCTTTTACAGGCAGGCCAGATCTGGCAGATAGCTGATATGAGGACTTTGCTGACTTCAGAAAGCTGAGTGTAACACCAACAGACTTCAGTGAAAGGCGATATTATCCCTCCAAGCAACTCATACACAGAAAACTTTTGGTAGCTTTAAATTAACCTGTTGCTCACCTGCAAAGATAAGGCTACTGTTTCTTTCAGCACACATGGAGGAAGGCAACAAACTTTGTAACCCTGGCTAATAAGACTGTGGCTTTCTTATCAAAAGTAGGAGGTAGGCCAATTCTAAAAGGATTATTTTGTATTTAACCTCCAGGACTTTAACTCTGGCCTGAACACTGGACATAAATAGAAGCCAATTTTAATGACCTGAGATTTTGCTACCCGTGCTTTATTATTGTTATCAGTTCTTTACCACTTTGGTACTTTATTTCTTTAAGTTAGAAATGGGTTCGTGGACAAGAATGTTGCCCACAGATTGGGCTGTTCTCATGAAATCATGGCTTATCTTTTCCCTGGGGCTTTACATGCAGGTCTCCAAAACTTTGGCCTGCCCAAAAGTATGCCGCTGTGATCGAAACTTTGTCTACTGTAATGAGCGAAGCTTGACCTCAGTGCCTCTTGGGATACCGGAGGGTGTAACCGTCCTCTACCTCCATAATAACCAAATTAATAATGCTGGATTTCCTGCAGAGTTGCACAACGTCCAGTCTGTGCACACAGTCTACCTGTATGGCAACCAATTGGATGAATTCCCCATGAACCTGCCCAAGAATGTCAGGGTTCTCCACCTGCAGGAAAACAACATTCAAACCATTTCTCGAGCCGCCCTTGCTCAGCTTTTGAAGCTGGAAGAGCTGCACCTAGATGACAACTCCATCTCCACTGTCGGTGTTGAGGATGGGGCATTCCGGGAAGCCATCAGCCTCAAGCTTCTGTTCTTGTCCAAGAATCACTTAAGCAGCGTACCAGTAGGCCTTCCAGTGGACTTACAAGAACTTCGAGTAGACGAAAACCGAATTGCTGTCATTTCAGACCTGGCCTTCCAGAATCTTACAAGTCTGGAGCGTCTGATTGTGGATGGCAATCTGCTTACTAATAAAGGCATAGCTGAAGGCACCTTCAGCCACCTCTCCAAGCTCAAGGAATTCTCAATAGTGAGGAATTCACTGACCTACCCTCCTCCTGATCTTCCAGGTACACATCTGCTAAGGCTCTACTTGCAGGACAACCAGATAACCCATATACCACTTACAGCCTTTTCAAACCTCCACAAGCTGGAACGTCTTGATATTTCCAACAATCAACTCCGGATGTTGGTAAAGGGGGTATTTGATAACCTCCACAACCTGAGGCAACTCACTGTAAGGAATAATCCCTGGTTGTGTGACTGCAGTATTAAGTGGGTAACTGAATGGCTCAAATTTATTCCTGCTTCCATCAATGTACGGGGTTTTATGTGCCAGGGACCGGAGCAGGTCCGAGGTATGGCAGTCAGGGAGCTCAATATGAATATGTTATCATGCCCCACCACCACTCCTGGTCTGCCACTTATCATCACCCCAGTCCCAGCTACAGCCATGCCAACTACATTAGTTCCCATCTCATCAGTTCCTCCTCCAAGTAGCAAATATAATCCTCTCACTCCCACCATAGCCTCACTCCCCACTGTGCCTGTCAGGGAGGACAGAGAAAGGGTGACACCTCCTATATCTGAACGGATTCAACTCTCCATCCATTTTGTGAATGACACTTGCATCCAAGTTAACTGGATGTCTCTTTTTACCGTGATGGCGTATAAACTCACATGGGTTAAAATGGGCCATAGTCTGGTAGGAGGAATTGTTCAGGAACGAATAGTTAGTGGTGAGAAGCAACACTTGAATTTGGTAAATTTGGAGCCCAAATCCACCTATCGGATTTGTTTAGTTCCACTGGATACTTACAACAATTACCGAACTGGAGAAGACACTGTCTGTTCAGAAGCTACAACCAAGGCTTCCTTTTTGAGCAATGGCAGCAACATCCCCTCCAGCCATGAGCAGACAACTTCTCAGAACCTGGGTTCCCCATTTCTGCTGGCAGGGTTAATTGGGGGTGCAGTGATATTTGTCCTTGTGGTCCTGCTCAGCATTTTTTGCTGGCACATGCACAAAAAAGGGCGTTACACCTCCCAGAAGTGGAAATATAACCGGGGCCGTCGGAAAGACGACTACTGTGAGGCAGGGACCAAGAAGGACAACTCCATCCTGGAGATGACGGAAACCAGCTTCCAGATTGTCTCCTTAAATAATGATCAGCTCCTTAAAGGAGATTTTAGACTGCAGCCCATTTATACCCCAAATGGGGGCATTAACTACACAGACTGCCACATCCCCAACAACATGCGATACTGCAACAGCAATGTCTCAGACCTGGAGCACTGTCATACGTGATAGTGAGGGAAGATGGGGGTGTCTAGGACAAAGAGAAAAAACTCTGGAAAAAATAACCCCCCAACAACAATGAAAAAATTACATTTGATAAATGTTACACAGATGCATTTATGCATTTGAATACTCTGTAATTTATACGGTGTACTATATAATGGGATTTAAAAAAAAAAAAAAGTGCTATCTTTTCTATTTCAAGTTAATTGCAAATGGTTTTGTAACTCTTTGCTTTTTAAATCTTTAAAAAATATTGCTAAGTACTGTACAGGGTTGTAGAATAAGAACCCAATGTCATGGCGAAGGAAAGAATGACTCATTCTTCAAACATTAACCACTTTGCTGTCGAAGCTGTCTGAGGGATGTTAAGTTTCTTGGTGTCCTGTAGTACAGGAAAATAAGTGCATATTAAAACAGGATTACTAGGAATGGACAAAGGCAATTCACATAAAATGGATACAACCCTTCTCACTTGAACCCAGCAGTTGCTGTTGAGCTTCAAACAAATGGAAATACTTCCATTCCCCTTTGTCAGTTCTGCATTTCCTACCTCCAACTGAAAGCTGGAGTTCTGAGTGCTACCAAAAAGGCTGCTTGCTTGTTTGATTACTTTTCTCCCAATATACTTGGAATAGGAAAGGTAGACAAAGCTCAGTGTCTAACTCAAAGTGACCTTGATTCCTATTTGCAAAAGCTACTCTGAAAATGTCCCCCAATACTATATACTTTTATAATAGAAAGTGTTCCTCTTTTTCATCTTGATAAAGAAGCTTTAGGCATTCTCTGACCCTTCACAGTGGGAGATGAAGGTTATCAGTGTGTAACAGATAGCTGTCATTAAGTTGGACCTCTCCTTAATAGAGCAGCATTTGTTGACACAGCATGTTCAGGTAAAGCCTGAATGACAGAAATTCTGAGTGCTCCCAGCTTTATAGTATTCATGTAGAACCTGGAATCTAAAAGTGTAAATTGCTGAAAACATGACGCAAAATATGATGCTAATGAAAAGGTTGTTACTGACTTATGTTTCAGGCTCTGATTTAGGGATCTGAGTTATGTTCAGTATGGAGAAGTAGGAAAAAAAGACAAACAAACAGAAAAAAAAAATAGAAAAGTCTTTAAAAAATTTATTTATTATTGGAAAGGCCTCTGGGCCTATTGTGAACTGAAATATGTTCAACAGGGAAAATCACGTATAAATTCTGGTTGGGGTGGGTTTTTTTCCCCATTCAAGTATACAGTGACAGACATTAACTCAGCATATTATTAGCTGAGGAATTTTGAGGACACTGTCCCTCTGAAGTTACCCTTCTTTTATCTTAAGCTTTTGGAAATTTTCCACAATGATCTGTGCTTTTTAAGCAGTAGGTAGGCTTAGAATTTGTTTTTTTATTCCCTCAAATTCTTTAGCTGGAATACGTTCTGAGTCCTTGAGCTTTACATGCAGTATGTGAAACATCATGTTTGTATTAAAACGATGATGCTGCTTTCAAGATTGTATAATGTTCCAGCCACTCCATTGACTCTGTGACTGCCAAGAACTCTGGATTTCTTGCCAGCTCAGTGGTGGAATCTAATTCTTCCTTTCTTTCAGTTTGTTTGTTTTTTAATGAGGCTCACTTTCTCCTAAGCTTGGGGACAAGCAAAAGTTCACAACAAAGAGAAAAAAAGAGAGACAAAACTTTCCTGTGGGAGTAGGGAACCAAAGAGAAAACATTTTAGTTACCAGCTAGGGACAAGAAGAAGCTATTAGAGGTGGATTGGAAGTAAAGGCTGAAGAACTTTCACTGTGGAATGCTTAGACTTTTCACTTTATGAGGCTGCTTATGTTGGGAGAGAGGGTTTTAATCCTTTCCTTTGCTCATTTCACTCAACCCATTCTTGAAACCCAGCAGTCTATGAGTGTGCAGTTTCTGAAATTCAAACGGCATGATAACACTCATTTTCTGCAATGGCAAAATAAATCCAGTTATGATTGATGGCAAAGTACAATCATCATATAAGGAACTGCAACCTCACCCCAACAACATTTATAATCACATTTTGAAATTCCAATCTATATTCTGTATATTTGCTATTTTCTCCAGCCATAACAGGTATTTTAGGGAACCTGTGTGGCTACTGTAATAGTTAAGTCACTGAAATTTTGTTGAATAAAAGGCTGCCATATGATTTCAAATGGTGTAATTATAGGTAGACACGTCTATGCAAAGTGGTTTTTTCTGTGACCTATTTACTGAAGATTATGATGAGAAGGTTGATTGATACCTTTGTTTCTTCAACATGTTTTAGGCACCAAAGCCCACAAGACAAGCAGCAAATAGTTGTGCTTCTGCACGCTTCCATTGCATGCTGGAGTTTGTTTGAAATTAAATAGAGTCAGAGATTTCCATTGGGTGTGGATGTAATATTTAATTTCACTGAAATAACTAGCTGTATGTTTGATTTCAAAAGGCATCCTTTGAAAGTATGTGCTTACTAGAGTTTCATACTTCAGTGACTGATGATGGAGGAACATTTGTCCTCCTTGATGAACATCTTCTGTTCTAGGCCTCAGGATACCATAGTTTCAAGATGAGCTAGGCGCCTTATATGTAGCAAATTACTTATTCAGGGAGTTCAGCCATACTGCAGGTGAATGATCCACAAGCCCAAAACTGATTACAACAAATACTGTTACTGTCCTAATAGGGTGAAACCGGAAGACATTCACAAACTGTTCACTTTGATCTTGGATGATGAAATGTTTGTATCTGTCTGTGGACTATTACTCACTTACCTAGATCAAAAATCAGAATGATATTAAAGATAGCATAGTTTATACTTCTTTTCAGTATGAATAATAATATATATATTGGTATGGGATATTGACACTTTCTTTTATATAAATGCTCTTCTGAAAAACAGTAGCAAACCGCTTATAACAAAATTTGTGCATAGAACTGGGAGTATTATCTAAAAAACTATCACAGTGGTAGTCAACTGAAAGGTCATACATTTAATTTGAAAAATATGTCTCCCAATTCTGATTGCTATCCAGCTGCAAAAGAGTTAATGTATTTCAACCTACAACACAGTTTGGGACTTTTCAAAGTGCCAGTGACAGAAACAGCTGAGACATCATTTCAGGTCACATCTAGAAAAGTACATAATGAGGAATTTTCACTAGTTAAAGTATTCAGAAAAAGTCAGAGTTAAAAATGGTCTTTTGACTATGTAAAGTTTAAGATTAGGTTTTCCCTTGGGCATCATAAAAATGGTGTCATCTTCACTTGTTGCAAATGTTTGACCAGAGATACTAACTAAAGGCTGTAGAACAGAAGCCCCAAATGTGTCTATATGCAACTCATCCAAAGTGTTCACTTCCAGGTCCTGGTTTGAACAGGTGTATCGGACCTTGGGGCCCATGTGTGGTTTACAGACAAAAATCTCACCCATTTTCCATTGTATACTGCTAAGACCTGACATAAATGTACAGAAAAGATTGGTGAGCGAAATAAGAGTTTAAGTGAAATTATGTTAAAGCAGTATCATAACACTGCTGTGCCCAGTGCTTGGGTTCCTTCTGAAAACTTATTTATTACAAGACCATGTTCTCACAGATTCTGTCACTATAACAAGTGTTCCTTGCATGTACCTTGCTAGCAAAAACAAACAGCTGATGAATGTGTGGACTTTGTGTTGACAGGTTCTTATTGGAGACATTATTACTGAATTTCTTTATAAGAATATTTAGGGATTGGGTTACTTTGGACTGAAAAGGTTTTAGCAGTTTTCCCTGTAAGCCAGTAAAGGACTACAATGAATGTCACATAAAACAGAAAAATGAAGTAACATATGCTATTTGCTACTAGAGTAGTTTAACTATATTTTTCTCTCAATCATTTTCTCTTCTCATGAGAGAAAATTTCTCCCTCAGAGAAATGTATCAATTTTAATTTTGCAAGCAAAAGAACTTTATACATATTGTATTGTTGTTACGGTTTTAAGGGTCTACATAAGGCACTTTATTAATGACGTTGAAGTGAAAGTTCAGTCTCAGCTTTTGACAGTGAAGTGGTTAATTCCCATTGAATTCTCCATTTATAGTATTTCTTCACCTTAAATTTAACATGGAGATATTAAAGTTTTTTCTTTAGAACATGAGAATAATGGTTTTACTCAATGTCTTTCCAGCACAGTGGAAAAACAAAACAGAAATGAGTGCCAAAACCAAAAGTTAATGGCTCTGAGCCTCATCAAATCCTGCCTGATGCTTTCTTCTAAACACAGAGATAATCTTAGGAAGCTGATGATCACTCCTTGCCTGAACTCTACTGAACAGGGCACTTCGTATCCCAGATGATACTACAGGCAATATTGAAGCATTTGGCATTAAACTTCTGTACAGCAGTGAATGTCTTGCTCTTTAAAAGGACGCTGGCTAGTAGTCCATCTGGAAAACTAGTACAAAAGAGATTTGGCAAGCTTTTATTATACTGGGGGTCCGTGGAAATGTGCCTCATAAGAGCTGAATTCTGATCATCTCAGAAACAGATAAGGTACTAACAAATTGTTATCATCACTTGGTCCCAAATATCTGAAGATGATCTTTCATAAAATTGATTTTAACTGAGACATGCACACTTGATTCTGTTCTGTGTTTAGTATACTTTCTATCTTTAACATGGAAAAATAGATGGTTTGAAGTCTGCATTATCTGTTTCCTGCAATCTACCATGTTGCACGCATTGTTAACTTCAAAACTTCACTATACACTATATATTATCTTGTTGACATATTCAGTAAAGAGTTATTTAAAAAAAATACAACAATCCTGCTGTATTTATATGAGCAAGTTAATTAAAATAAGGATGTGATTATCTGAAAGGGAAAACAGAAAAACAAAAGTATCAATCTTCTGTACTTTCATTCCTGGAAATATTTTCAAATGTTCTACTGTACATCCACCCTCTCTTCAGATTCTAAAAGGCAGATATTTTAATCTTCTGTCTCTCAAAGAGTCCAACCATTTGTTATTTCAATTTCTCAGAATTAATCCTATCTTTAAAATATTATCTCATTCTGATATGCATACAGGAGAGCACTGTAAAACAAGAACAGATTGTGTTCCAGTGTTTGCAATTAATAGGTACGTTTAAGCAGCTACACACTTCTGTAACAAATGTATGTATGTGGAAGCTGTGACCCATTATATGCTTAGTCATTTGATAAATGCATTTGACATTCATCCTTGACAATCTTAAACCTGCCTTTTACCTATTATTATTTAATCTGTTTTCTTGAAATGAAATGTGATTTTTTTTCCCAATTTTCCCTTCAAAATTGTTCTTGAATTTTCAGAATGCACAACATTCAGACATAGGCCTTAATAAATTTTTTTATATCTTATACCTAACATATATGGTAATATATACAGCATATATAAAGAGATATTTTAGCTACTTAGAAATGGAAATTATCCTTCTTCTAGCTACATATACAAGAACCAATTTTGGCTTTGCCAGAACCTGAAATACTGAGTGTTGCAAGCTATATCACTTCAAAGATTAGAAATGTAATATTGCTGTCAAAGTTCTTCTATAAATTACCTTATTCTCTGATTTAACCCTGAATATCAAGTAAAACTACCAAGAGCTGCTGTGTAATAAATCCACATCCAGGCCACCCCCTTAATATGTTTCCCTGAGCTTGATGTTTCTTCTGAGCCAGATCAGACCTTAGTAACTAAATCTTCTTGCCTTAACACAGGAAGGTGGACATCAGAGGTAAAGTAAATGATAAACAGATCATAACATTGTGATCATTTATGTATTTTTGGCAAAAAATAATGGCTTCATCATATTCAATTGATGATTTTGTTTTCTCAAAAAAAAAAAGTTGGCAGACACTGACTACTTCATCAGATTATCTTTTAATAGCCACAAATTATTAATAGTAGGAGAGATCAATCAATATTTACTTTTTATAGTTCTAAGCTCAGTTATCTGGAGCTATTCACATACATGTGCATGTGTGTATAAATTCCTGGGGTTGTGTATAGAGGGTTTAGTTACAAGGAACTCCAAAAGCAACCACACAGAGGAGTATTTTTTGTTATTGTTCAGTCAACATTTTTCAATATTTCACTATAAAACCAGTTCTATCTAAGACCATTTATAGTGCCACATGGAGAAACTACATTTGGTCATTAAAATATGAAGCAAACATTTTAATTCTACTTGAAGTGCCACTGTCAGTGAAGGTTCAAACTAAAAATCACTAAAATACTTGTATTGTGCAGGTAGAGACTTGGTGAATTTTTTAACAATAATTTGCATTCCTAAAACAAATTACACTTTTACAGTGAAATTGTGACCCCATTGATTTCAACTATAAATCAGGATAATTTAGGAATAATACATACTTTAGAAGGATTATTAAAAACATCCAGTTTTACACATTGTATAATATGTTATGCTATGTATCCCCAAATTAAAAACATCAACTGAGTAAGGCAGTAGACCTGTGTATCGGTTCTGAAAAACTACAGGAGCAGTGAAATAAACTTTACAGAAAATATGAGGAGAGAGAAATATGTACTGAGCAACATTGTCTAATGTAAAGCCACACACAATACAGACATTTAAAGCCACAAACAGGCCACTGAGCATAGGAAGAATGTTCTTTTACACATAAATGCACACACACTTTCTGCTTACAACTCTGTATTATGGCTAAGATATGTGACTGAAAAAAAATGCATGTATGAATATTAGGAGTTTATAGCATAGTTACACTTTGGTGGGGACATCTTACACTGAATAAGTAGAATCTTGACTGTGCACTGGACATATTACTTTTCTCTGTGTCAAAAGGATTCATATGCAGAAGGAAGTGACAAAAGAAGAACAAAAGTCATGCTGATTACACTATCTTGTTTTTCTAAGTGTGGAACACCTTGAAGAATGAAGACAGTGTACTACAGAAAATCCAACTCAAATGCATGTGTGTGATTACAACTTTACCATGCTCTGTGAAAAAGCGAGAAGTCTCTGTGGTGAATACTAGTCAGAGTGCTAAGCTGAACATGACCATTCTTGAAAAGCACAACTTCCAGAAAGATTCTGTTAAAATGGTGTATTTCTTGAGTGAAATCAGTATTTCCAGTCCTATAGATTTTGAGCAGGTGATCATACAGATAAATAAAATTCTTTGTGATGAGAATTGGAACAATGTGTCTAAAAAGATATTCCTCTTTACTGATATTTTATGGACATGAAGGACACATGCATATGCTCTATACGTATACATTTGTGACATACTTTTAAATTTCCTTTACAATTTTCAGACTCTTCAGATGAGATCCACTTCTAACACATGTACAATATTCCAAAACATTTAAATCCTCAGAAATGACTGGAATGCCTTTCAATTAATACATTCAAGGAAACGTGATGAAATGAGTATTTATAGAAAGTGCACAGTACTTTCTTAGAGCTTCAGGTGTGGTAAAAAAAAAAAAAAAAAAAAAAGAAAAGACAACTGTTAAACCAGAATAGCTTTGTATTCCTATTTAGATAAGTCCTTCCAAATTGTAGCACACTCACTTGAATGTCAAACTTTCTTTTGACTTGAAAGTCAAATGATTTAAATGACAGTATTGTAAGTTTGACCTCATACACCTTTGCAAACTGGTTTGTGCATTCATAGTTCAGGAACCAACACGTAATTCATTGCTCTCTGACTTACAGTGTGAATGTTAAAGAGTTTTTCCCCATTAAAGAAATATGTTAAGAAAATTTAAGAGTTGGTGTGAAGTCGAATACTGCAGTATTTGTTAAGGCAAATAATTTCATTTATTCAAGCAGGTCATTAGTATGTCTAATGAGGACCACAGAAGCAAGGCATGCGCACATTTACTCTGTCTCATTTTCAAGAAAACCTTTCTCACCAGTACTAGGCACTACTCCTAACTGATAAGAAACATATATGACTGAGAAATATAAACTAATGGAAATCTGAGAAAGGGGAGATATTCCCAATTATTACAGTTATTCTAATAATATACAGTTGAGCAAGCAATTAAAAAGGTAGTGAAGCTTTTCATTTTAAAGGTCCCTAGCAAGCATATATTTTATTTCCCATTCACAAGAAATTAGTTTTAGGCAGTTTTTCACTTACATCTGCATTGTAGGTTAATTTTGAAGACAATTTTTTTTTTTCCTGATTACAGGGCGTAGCACTAGGTTCATGGTATTCTCAGATCTAATTGGTCATGATGTTCATTTGGAAGTCTGTCCATTCACTGATTTACTTTGTCACCTATGAAAAGTTTGAGGGATAGGCTACTTTATGTGTGATACTTAACTTCATAACAAATTTGCAGTTGATATATTTCTGTAACTTTCTGCTTTGGTTTTGACATTCCTTTTTATAATTTAACATTATGAACAGGTGGAAAATGGAGTAAATTTAAAGCAGAGAAAATTATATTTATTTCTTGCTACATTTATAGCAATGGTAAGACTTTTTTTAGCAGAAGACAAAATTTAAGAGTACTGAGTTAAGAAATCTTAAACAATTTTGCTATCACTTTTAAGTTGAATTAATTATTTTTCAACTTTTAATTACAGTAGTCATGCTGAGAAGTTGAGGTGCAAAGACTGGATAAACTCAGGTTTGTGGTTATAGGAATTTTGTGTTTACAGGTTCAGTTTTATAGATTATTACTAGTAGCTGCACAAAGAGAAGGGGACAAGTGTTTCTTCTTTCTTCCTCAAGTACGTCAGATTCCCTTCTATAGTGATCAAGGAAGAAGACAGCTATTTCAAAGAAATCTCCCTCAAAAAACAGGTGTCTAGAACAGAAGGAAAATAACTGGTGTCATGGCATTTTTTTTTTGACTACAGAAGCTGGCAGATGCAGAGCTGGATCATTTTATGAGGGATGCAGCAAGTAAGAGGTGCTCTGCAGCATTATATAGGACCTCTGGTTTGTACAGGAGCCTGATAAAGTACCTTCCCTAGGTGCATCTTCTTGGAGGTCTGTAACAAAAGGCACAACCCGTGCTTATAAAAGCAAGGAATGATCTGAGTTTTATCTTGTTTTGTGGGTCTTTAATTACCATTTCCTGTAAGTCCTGGAGTTCCAGGTACACCATTGTGTTCAAGGAGTGGGTAACAAGGCAAATTTGGAAGGTCACATTTTTGATGACTCCTTTTATCAATGCAAATATTAATAAGGTGCCTGCAAACAAAATTCCAGACCACAGCAGGTGTGATCATTTGTGTTAGGGGTCAGATCAGACACTTCTACTTTCAGTTTAGATGTCTATTATTTTCTCCATTATTCCTTGTCCAATTAATTGTTTTCTTAACATTTCTTAACATTTGAAACTAAGTATTTACTATTGCTTATTTGTCACAATGCAAGGAAAAAGTTTCTACAAAACCATTATACCTGCAAACTGTGATGAAGATTACCCAGCAAAGCTAAGCTACAGAAATGCTGGCAGTCCAGTGAACAATTTGTCATGAAGTGATATGGATTTTATAATGTGATATCCATTCAGTTTATACCCACACTATGAAAAATCCAGAGGCACTAATCTCATTTCTTCTATGTCACATCAACCTTCTCTAGCATGATTGGCTTAGAGGACAGATTGCTGCTTGTTGCCTCACATGATAGTGTCATTTATAAGTGTTTACTTTAAGAAAAAAAAAAAAAAAAAAAAAGCTGTTTTCTGATTGCCTACATTTTTGGGCTGCTGTAATAGTAATTTGCTCTGTATATGTTGACTGTACTATTTATTTCTCACCATTTTTGCACACATATAGGACACACACACACAAACATATGCACAAGTGCACTGTATTTATACATATTTATGTGCATATATATTTAGATAAACATACAGATAAGCATATAAATAGACATATGCTATGTATATCTGTATGTATAAACATGGATCGGTCTAGGTTGAGTCCCATACTGATCTTTTGCTCTGGGTTTATGCATCATTTTGGTTCCACTTAAGCTTGTGAGAGATCAAAGATATAGATTAGCATGATTTTTATTTTTTTTAAGAACAGTATTGTCAGTATTGGTGAGAGCATCTTTTCAATAATGTATGTGCTTTGGCAGCCTACGCACTAAAACTTGAATAATACAGAGAAGGCTAACATAGCTCCTGGAAGTGGATACTATACACCTTCTGAAATACACATTCCAATGCACAAAGACTATCTGAGGACTCAGTTCATAGTAGGACTGTTCTGTGTGGTTGCTAAATAAACTGTAGATAGAGGAGAATGTGGGAAAAGACAATAGTAAACCAGTATGAACAAGAAGGGAAAAATTCACATATTTCTACATCTTTAGCATTATGGTTTAGTTTTTCTATGTTATTTTCTCTCTGTGGACTATTTTTCTTTTCCTGTATTTGACAGTTTTTCTTTCTCGTATGAGCTGTCTTTTAACTTACTCTTCTACTTCATGACGAACCCTTTGTTATATGGTATTTTTGTGGGATGCCCAAAATGAGGGCCTCTCTCATACATGAGGTGATGTATTTGCATGTAGCAGCCCAAAAAAGCAGTATTCATTGCCGTCCATCCTTGATCTGTTTCTGTTCCAAAAAGTGTTGCTGAGATGAGCCACATAGCTAGTGTGCTATTACAGGAAGACTTATAAGTATGCTATGAAATATTTTTCCAGTGTTTCATTTTAGAAGTTCTCTATTTGCAGCAAACATGAAAGGAAATTTGTATGCAACAACAGCCCACAGTGCCAGCAGCAGCACCTTTTCCCTTGTTTCCTTCCATTCCACTTGCACCTGGCTGCTGACTTAAATTATGAAAAACTCACAGTTTGCTTCTGTTGTTCATACACAGCTTAGGTATCCTGATTCCGTAATTAAAAGACATGAAGACTCACATGTCAAATTCAAGGACTAGGAGCAGGAGCTACAGGGCTCGGGACCATGACTGTGTGCCTGGACATGTGGTAGCCTACAAGCCAAGTCCTCTGCACTCCAAACACAGTTCCAATCAGTTCTGCTGCCCCTCTCTGAGATAACTCTGGTGTAAAAAGAAGATTTATTTTTAGATCTACAAACCTATCCATCCCTTCCTGAGGTTATAAATTGTAATATAAGTACTATTTCTCCCAAGGTGAGGATGAAAGAATGAGAGACATATCTTCCCCATTTCCCCAAAAAAGGGCAAGACATTCATGGAATGATCCGAGAACAGGCTCCCTCACTGAGTATATGCTGTTTCTTTGAGGTAACCAGGCTCCGTGCCTTGCAGTACTCCCAGCTACTCACCTTCTGCCAAATATGTTAACTCTGTAGTTAAAATTACTCCTGTCCATGCTTATACTGTAGTTCTGAAGTTTCAGAGCAGAGCCTCTATGTTTTACTTTAATTTTAGCTGTTAGTTTACATACTCTGATTTTGGTAGGACTCCTGCCTTACTCATTTCTCAAGATGGAAACAAAGCAGGGCAAGGTCTTTCACACAGTTATGAACCTGATATGCCCCTCTTTTAAATACCTGCCTTTACAATTTCAAACATTTTACTGTTGTTTTTCAGGATTTCCTTTTAACCCATAATACACACATGTTGCTGACTATATCTCTCATATTCAGAAATACAAAAGCGTAAAGAGTGCATATTATCCTAGAATTTGTTAGTAAACATCATTGTTCTCCAGCTAGAGATCATCTCATTAGTAAATGAAATTATACAAGTGATGAAGTTCCTTCTAGTTTGTGAAGTTTCTGTAACAGACTAATCTGAACTTCAAAGCTACTGTAATATTTGGAGCAGAGGCAGAGAAAGAATTAAGGATTTGAAAGACAGAAATTGTGCCAGTATAAAATGTATTTTAAATAAATATGGGCCAAAGCATAAAAATTCTTTTCAGATTTGGGGTATATAGATATAATTGTGGTAAATACAAAGATAAAAAATTTCTTTATCTGAGCAATGTTCTTTATTTGTGGGATTTAATTAGGGTTACTGCTTATTTTAAGTGCCCAAATTAATAGACCATTAATAATTTTTTCCTGGGTTTAGAAAAAATACTTGTGACATATGTTTGCCAACTATTTTTTTTTTTTAATTTGTATAATTCAAATTTTTTAAAAATTTTTTTTCCCCAAAGATATCCATGTCTGCTAAGTTGCAGTGAATTTGGAAAGCTGCATGCTTGTCAGTTAAAACAGAACAAAATAAAATTTCACAGCAAACATTCATTTACCTTGTTATAGAAGACAAATTGTTTACAGATAAATTTCTGTGAGTCCCAGTAATCCAGCAAACAGTTTGATTAGGAGACAAGATTAATCTGTGTTTCAAAGGCTGATCTTAATTTGAAATTGTAGAGAAGTGCACTGTCAGATGAATGTGTTCTCTGCACTGATTCTAAAAGGTGACTGTACTTATTTGGACTTAGCTTTGACAGCTGATGAAGAATGAGAATGAAATAACCATAGCAAATAGAAAAGTTATGAGTAAAACATTAACAGCATTACTCTGTGTAATACAGAGTATTATATGCCTGCAATAACATGAATTTCCAATGTTAGAATTTAGAGCTTGCTATAAAATGCAGTTGTATTTTCTAATTAATATTATAGCCTTCAAAATTTTATTTACAGGATATTTCTCATAATTATTAAAAAATTATGTTTCAGAAAGCACACACTTCAGAAAGGTCTGTAGGCATGCTAAATACCAGTCCTCTGGTGTATTAACTGCTTCTAGCCCAGCCAAGTCTTCAATAATGCTCTCTTCGATTTGTTCGCAAGCTTTTTCCTTTTGTTTTTCCTGCTTGACTACCCTGGCTGGAGTAGATTATGTGGAGAATATGCCATATTTTCCCATGTGCAGGTTTTTCTCAGGGCAGCTGTCAAGAGGGAAGAAGCAAAATAGGATAGATTCTTTCAGTCCTCAGATAGTGACCCCAGAGCAGTTTGCCAGGCAGCTCCACCTGCACAGCTAATGCAGAGCCCTCGGCAGGTGGTATGAGAGGAGTACAGCAGCTTCATGGACCATCACCATGTCACCTGACCTTGGTGACATGCTACCTGCCACAGGTATCTCCAACATTCAATCTAAATCATCTGTATAAGCAGATGGATCCCTGCCGTAGTATGTTTATGAGCTCTTTGGGGCACATGAATGGCACAGAGCAAACTCAGACCTGGTTTGTGGGCTTAGCTCCATATTCTCCAGTTTCTATTCACTAGCTACATGCTCTACATTCTTGAAAAAATGTTAGACCATAAATTGAAATGACAAAAGCCAAAGCTTTTGGAACTTATGGTGAATTCAGTGTTAATGCTAATGGTGCCTGGTTTTATATATTGTATAATAATTTATGTTCATATTTTTAATAGGAAATCTACATTCTTTAAGAGTACTTGAATCCACCTCTTAGTTATTAGTTATATGTGTATTGCATGAGAGTTTAAAAGTGTTGGAACGGTCTGGTGATCCCATTACAGACTTCACAGGGAATTATTTTAACAGCTTCAACAAGTTCTGGACTGAATCCTTCATCCTGAAGCATATCTTTAGCCAGAAACATGCTAAATCTCACTGTCAGATTAGAATAATTTATGTGGAAGGCCATCTAGGTCAGTTATGGTTTCTTCTATAGACCCACATATAAATTTCTAAACCTTCAGTGTCATCTAGTGCATAGAATATGGAAATTCTGACACAAATACGCTAATGATTGTGACTCTGCATGCCTGCTGATTCTTGCTTATAATGGGACAAAGGATATATCTCTTACTGACCTACTTGGGATAAGCACTATGTAAAAGCTAGGCTTTTTTATTATTTCACCATATGCAGCTATATGACTTCTGCTGGAAAATAGTAGATTCACCTAGAGGCATCTTAGTTGGAGATAAGGATCTGGTTTACAATTTTAACAGAGTTGTCTTTAACCTAATATATTGACTCTTTGGCATTTCAATAAAGATGCTACAATGGAATTATATTATCACAATATCCACACTTCTGTTTAAAAATATTATGGGTAAAAAGGAAACAGTGATTATATGTAAAGCCAGGAGTTTATTATTAGTATAACTGAAATATTAACAGTCTAATTAGACAGTCAACAAAAGAAAAAGAAGAAAATAAGGAACATAAAGAAAAGGATACCACCATACCAAAAAAACCAACCCAAACCAAAGCCAAAAAAAAACCCCTCAATAATAATACAGTTAGGATTGTATGATACGTTTTCTAGCTGCTAGCTGGTTTTCTGGTGTTGTGTTTAGCTTTCCACTGCCCCTCAGGATCCTTCTATCTGTTCAGGTAGCATGGTGCATCACTAGCACAACAACTCCTTCACTGGGAAGACAATGATGTTAACATTGTTGGTTTCTTCTTCGCTTTAGGATCTGATAGGGTCATTTTTATTTGTTTGCTAATGGTCTTTTACACCTTGCTTTTTCTTCATTGCTCTGCAAGTCCACATTGCATCCAGCTGTACTACATATGGTGCACTTGTGATACCCCCAAACCAGTTTTGTCGTCCAGGTCTGCGTTTCTTTAACTAACTGTTGATGAGTTATTCACAGCCACGGGCTTTCCAGTGAGAGTCTGTGATTCATCTATTATCCCATGCCTGTATTCCTGCATACTGCTTCCTACTCCTG